GCCCCAAAGGAGATGAAGACCAAACCAATGCTCCAAACTGAAAATTTTCAGATCAAGGAAGCTCTCGACGATCAACAAAACTTGTGTGGAGACAAAAAGGTGGAGTACGTCTTACTAGATCAAATCTAAGAGAGAAGGGCGATCTAGATTGAGAAGCTCTGAAATGCTTTTTTGGAAAAGTAGAGAGAGAGAGAAAGCAAAGTGATTTGAGGAGTCACAATCGTCGGGACTTTGAACCCAGGTTCTCCGCTCGACGCGTAAAAACACCCGCTCGAGCGGCCACTCACAGCTTCGCTCGAGCGGCGAACCTCCATTTGAGCGCAGATGCACTCGCTCAGACTTTGCAGACCAACCTCGCTCGAGCTCCCAACCCTACGCTCGGAGCGTACAACACTGCAACACAATACTAGATGGGTGTATTCGCGCTCGAGCGCAACATATCGCTCGGAGCGGACAGGCCAATTGGGGCAACTGAGTTTTGGCTTCTAAACTCACCACCTGAAAAAACCGCCACACATCCCATAACTCAAGTATTTAAGTAAAGAGGTTGCAGAACAAGTAAAAACAACTACAATCACGACAATGTCCCGGATCACTGTACACAAGGGTGTTAAACCACGGGATCGCTAATAATATGTGTCTGTGCTTGTCAATTCATGAGTTTAATACTCACTCAATTTAACAAGGAAAACTCACAAAAATACTCCAGAAGAAAACCTTAGAAAACCTCAAAGTAGATCTAAAAAACCTAATCCTAGTTTTGAAGTAAAACAAATACTTATAGAAATCCTGGACTGTGAAGCTCGCTCGAGCGAAGCTTCTCTCGCTCGAGCGAGAACCTTATCTCGCGTGATTTCTATAAATGGCTTCTCACGAGCCACGCAACCTACGCTCGAGCGTACAATCAACTCTTTCAGGTTTTTATGCAGACGCACTTCTTTGCTCGAGCCACGCAAGCTTCGCTCGAGCGCACATTCATCCCTTTCAGGTTTTTGCCAAATGCAATCTTAGCTCGAGCGAGGACTCTTTCGCTCGAGCGAGCAAGACAAAACAGCACAGAAATTTAAAACTCAATCACATAAGTTTGTTCGCGGGATTGACAAGACTCAGGGACCTAACAAGAAGGATCGCTCGAGCCAAGACCGCTCGAGTGTAACAAACACAGCTCGAGCAACGAACACTACCCTCCCAGTATCTTTGCAGACTAATACGGGAAATTCTCAAAGACAACTCAAGCGAACAAAGCACCGCTCGAGATAACTAACCAAAATCTGGCCAACAGTTCTATTGAAAAAAAACAACTTCCAACCAACGCCAAACGCAATAACAACATCCAAACAACCAAACTCAAGAAGAAATAGAATGAATGAAGATATGAACAACTATTCAAGAATAAGAATCACGGATCCAAACTAGAAACGGGTCAGGTCTAAACTAGAATCGTTATAGTTTATTTCTTATTTAGTTTATCTACATTTTCTAGGCATATCTATTTAATATTCATTTTCTGGGCATGTCTATTTAAGTTAAGATGGTAAAACAAACAAAATTATTTGAACTCGAAATATGATATCCAATATTTAAATATTTTTTTACATATCCAAAATTTAAATAATTTTTTAAGGAACTCCAAATCAAGATTAAGCAAATTACAATTTTGGACAAACTTTTAGCCAAATAAAATCATATTAAGATTCATATTCAAAATAAAAATACAGTGTTAAATTAAGAATTCATACATATTTTTGTTTGCGTAATATTATCATTTCCATCGTAGGCCCCTAGCATGTCCACCATCAAATTATTTTACTTTTATTTGGATTTGGATAAAAAGAGAATATTCAAATAAGTTTCAAATTTAAAATTGTAATTGAAAAGTAATTTTAATTTTTTTTTTTTTTTTGGGTGCACACTTTCTCATGGACAAGGTTAATAAAATAAATTAGGAAAATCAAACCTGGTGATTGAACAATGGTTGTGCTTCCGATCTTGTAGGCCACGTGTAAAAACTTTTAAGGCTCGCCAACTCCGAAAGATTAAGAGTTGTTAATTGAGGGAACGAAATGATATCATTACTGGTGGTTCCTTTTTCTTTTTCTTTCTCCGCGACTATTGCTTCCATCTTTGGACAATTGTCTACCATGAATATTTCCAGATTTTGCAGTCGTGGGAGCATATTGAACCGAACCACATGAACCAATTTCTCACAATTATAAACCTTCAAATCTTTCAGTCGGCAGGACTTTGATTCGTTTTCTGGGGCTATGAGTAATTGCTTCTCCCATATCTCTATTATGTTAGGCAATTTCGAAATTTCCAAATTCTCCAAGACGGGGAAAGCAACCTGTACAATAATTTACAACACTTGTAGTTTGTGACTGTTACAAAATTGTTGATAAGCAACAATTGATAATTGTAACAGTTTCCAAATGTGTGCTCTGATCATGCATGAGTGGAAATGAAAAGCAATAGACAAGCAAATTTATAATTGCATATCTCCATATTCTTTTCAAATATTTATTATATTGCTTAATTATTAACTATGCACCTTTTTGTTATGACCTCTTCACATTGTTTTCCATCATTCATCATTATTTTTCTATTTGCCTTAAATAATTTGTGTTCCTTAATCTTATTTGTTATTTTTCTGATAAGGCAAATTATACTGTAGATCTGAGTATTACACCTACGAAAAGGAAGAAAATTTTATTTTAAAAATTCACCACGGTGCCATGATAATTTTTTATATTGATAGTTTCTTATTTAATTTAATATTCATTTTCTTGGCATATCTATTTAAGTTAAGATGGTAAAACAAATCAAATTATTTGAACTCGAAATATGATATCCAGTATGATATCCAATATTTAAATATTTTTTTAAGGAAACCCAAACCAAGATTAGGCAAATTACAATTTTGGACATAATTTTAGCCAAATAAAATCATATTAAGATTCATATTCAAAATAAAAATATAGTGTTAAATTTAGAATTCATACATATTTTTGTTTGGGTAATATTGTAATTTCCATCGTAGGCCCCTAGCATGTCCACCTTCAAATTATTTTACTTTTATTTGGATTTGGATAGAAAGAGAATATTCAAATAAGTTTCAAATTTAAAATTGTAATTGAAAAGGAATTTTATTTTTATTTTTTTTGGGCACGCTTTCCCATTGTTGGGGTTGAGAAAATAAATTAGGAAAATCAAACCTGGTGGTTGAACAATGGTTGTGCTTCCGATCTTGTAGGCCACGTGTAAAAACTATTAAGGCTCGCCAACTCCGAAAGATTAAGAGTTGTTAATTGAGGGAACGCGATGATATCATTACTAGTGGTTCCTTTTTCTTTTTCTTTCTCCGCGACTATTGCTTCCATCTTTGGACAATTGTTTACCATGAATGTTTCCAGATTTTGCAGTCGTGGGAGCATATTGAACCGAACCACATGAACCAATTTCTCACAATTAGAAACCTCCAAATCTTTCAGTCGGCAGGACTTTGATTCATTTTCTGAGGCTATGAGTAATTGCTTCTCCCATATCTCTATTATGTTAGGCAAATTCCTAATTACCAAATTCTTCAAGACGGGGAAAGCAACCTGTAAAGTAATTTACAACACTTGTAGTTAGTGACTGTTACAAAATTGTGGATAAGCAACAATTGCTAATTGTAACAGTTTCCAAATGCGTGCTCTGATCATGCATGAGTGGAAATGAAAAGCAATAGACAAGCAAATTTATAATTGCATATTTCCATATTCTTTTCAAATATTTATTATATTACTTAATTATTAACTATGCACCTTTTTGTTATGACCTCTTCACATTGTTTTCCATCATTCATCATTATTTTTCTATTTGTCTTAAATAATTTGTGTCCCTTAATCTTATTTGTTATTTTTTTGATAAGGCAAATTATACTGTAGATCTAAGTATTACACCTACGAAAAGGAAGAAAATTTTATTTTAAAAATTTACCACGGTGCCTTGATAATTTTTTATATTGATAGTTTCCTATTTAATTTAATATTCATTTTCTTGGCATATCTATTTAAGTTAAGATGGTAAAACAAATCAAATTATTTGAACTCGAAATATGATATCCAGTATGATATCCAATATTTAAATATTTTTTTAAGGAACCCCAAACCAAGATTAGGCAAATTACAATTTTGGACATAATTTTAGCCAAATAAAATCATATTAAGATTCATATTAAAAATAAAAATATAGTGTTAAATTTAGAATTCATACATATTTTTGTTTGAGTAATATTGTAATTTCCATCGTAGGCCCCTAGCATGTCCACCTTCAAATTATTTTACTTTTATTTGGATTTGGATAGAAAGAGAATATTCAAATAAGTTTCAAATTTAAAATTGTAATTAAAAAGGGATTTTAATTTTTTTTTTTTTTGGGCACGCTTTCCCATTGCTGGGGTTAAGAAAATAAATTAGGAAAATCAAACCTGGTGGTTGAACAATGGCTGTGCTTCCGATCTTGTAGGCCACGTGTAAAAACTTTTAAGGCTTGCCAACTCCGAAAGATTAAGAGTTGTTAATTGAGGGAACGCAATGATATCATTACTGGTGGTTCCTTTTTCTTTTTCTTTCTCCGTGACTATCGCTTCCATCTTTGGACAACTGTCTACCATGAATATTTCCAGATTTTGCAGTCGTGGGATCATATTGAACCGAACCACATGAAACAATTTCTCACAATTATAAACCTTCAATATTTCAATCGGC